CAAAGTGTGCAACTAAAGGTGGATAATCCTGGATTTTAATGTCAACTATTATTCGAGCAAACTTAGCCCTATATTTGACAGCAGTACAATGATAAGTTGCTATAGGATTACCTAAAGCACTAATTATTCTACCCAAAGTGGATGGGTTTCAATACTTAAGCTCTAACCCATGCAGTTGCATCAGTACATGAACATGCCTAATTTCTTTATGATCGATTCTCTTTTCTACCTTCCAATAAACCACTAGAAGAAAAAAGGGCTTTGGTGACCGAAATTTTAGTGACCATCAAAATTTGGTCACTTACAAAAATTTTGGTCACCAAACGCCCATGTAAGTGACCAAATTTCCCTTGGTCACAACTTTGGTCTTTTGACCTAACTTAAGACCAAATGCGAAAACGGTCTCTAAACTGGTCACCAAAATTTTGGCGGGAACAATTCCCGTGTGGTTGGTCTTGCTTGGTGACCAAATTCAGTGACTAGACTTCAATTGCCCACTAAATTTGGACTTTTTTGAGGTGGTGACTAATTTTTTGTAGTCTCCAAACTTGTTAACTCTTGGTGACCAAATATTTGGTCTGCAAACTCTACTTGGTGACCGAGTTTTGCAGTCACTAAGTAATATAGATTCTTTTAAAAAATTTGCTATATGCTATTGACGTGGGAAATATTGCCGCCAACATGTTTTTGCCACCCTTCTTTCAATCCAAGTAAGACACCCTAATTCTTAAAATTATACCCCCAATAATTTTTGACAGGAAAGTTGACGACATAAGAACATAACTATATTCCAATAATTTTTGGGACATTTTTGGTTCTGTAAGTTTGATACTATGTGTATGAAACTACATGTTTTATGCATGTGAAAAATTTCTCATAGCAATGCGAAAATATGATTATGGTGAAACGAAATCCACAATTTTTATGAAAAGTTGTGATTTCTTAATTTTTGAATGACTAGAGGCATGTTAAGTGTTTTTGTCTTGTGAGTTCGAGTCTAAGAAAAAGATACAAACTAAAGTTGTATCTATTGACTCTAAGTGATAAGACACAAAAGAAAGCATTTGTCTACTGGTTCCAAATAAAAAGACATATCCGAAAAAATAAGTCAATTAGTTAAAGTGAAAAGGCACGAGTGAAAGACATGTCTAGTCATCCAAATAACAAATTAAGGCTGTGACCTTTAGTTGATAACCAAGCATTATTTTTGCAATGAAGTTTTTTGAATTGACAATGCTTGTTTTTGCATTGTTACGTTCAATATCAATGCATTTGATATGGTATTATGCTTTGACATTTTTATTATTTGTGGCTTCTAATGTATTGTATATCTGCATAATATATAAATTAATTAGTGTCAAATGCCTTAATAATAAAAATGTGAAACATATACATAAACCATGGTTGCAACTTGCAAGATTAATTTCAAATAAAAATTGGAAGTTGTTGCTGGTACAACACTTTGTTGTACGTGAATTTAATAATTTTAAACTAAGGGATGCAAGATATTTTATCACTTTTATAGATAATTGCTCATATTTGTGTGGAGGTTTATCTAGTGAAGATAGTGAATAAAATATTTGATACATTTTGCATGTAAATCCCTAGCCTAAAATTACTTTAGTAGGTAAAATGAAATAGTATTTAACAAATAACAAATAGTTTGCCTAAGAATATAAAACTCTATGTGTCATAACAATGCTATACTAGTGAGTTTAAGCAGCCAAAAAGTTTGTGGAACAAATATTATTAAATACTTGTCATGTGTACAATTAAACTCCCTAAAGACTAAAGTGTCTCCATGTGGAATACGAAAGAGGGGAGGAAAATTGTATTGTCAAACATAAAAAGTTTAATATGACACTACATATTGTTGTGTTCATTATTGGGACCAAAGTATCCAAACTACTTATCATTGATTATAATGTATTAATATAATCAATGGATGTAGATTCATTTAAAATTTGTTTTCAAAGTTTCTAAACCAAGTAGTTAATGTATCATCTAGTGAACCTCTGAGTTTCTAAAGTGCAAGTGGTTCTATGAGTGAACCAAAGAGAAATACAATAACTTTCTGGCTTAAGCAAAGTCTAAAGTTTATGAAAGTTCTCTTGGAAGTTGAATCTTCTAAGGTTACTGTCTTCCTAGTGAGAGCAATAAAAATAATCTACTAAGTAAAACTTTATGATGTTTTTTGTGGAGTAAATTAAAAACAATGAGTTTTTTGAATTTTAGGCTGATGCATTTGGAAAGAAGAGTTAATTATGGAATGGACTTGACATTGTCTAATGATGTATGTGTCCAAATTGATTTAACTTGAAAGGTTCTAGACTAGTATATTGTAAATGGTTATTGCATTAGTAATATATTGTTGATAGCAAGAGACATCAATAGTATATTTGGACTCGAAGTGTCATGATTGCTTTGGTTAGTTTGACTTGCATAATTTATCATACTAGCTAGAAGTTTCCATTTACGTTTTCATGTTCACCTGTGAAATATATAAAGTATCATCTTAGTGGTGACTTATATGAAAATGTGTATTTGGAACTTCTTAATGCTTTGTGCTATGAAGTGATAAAAAGATGTGTGTACTAGTGAAGTCTTGATTTGATGTTATACAATTGCATGGTAGTCTATCTAAGTTACTCTCACATGGTGCATATATGTTGTAAATTGCAAATGTCAAAAGTTTGTGAAGAGTATGTAATAGATATATGCTTTTGTATAAATATCTATGCTCAATGCATACAATAATTTCAAAACGTGCAGTGGATACTAAGAAAAATCCTTTTTCTAAGTTCAAATTAAATGAGCTTGGTGAAACAGGTACTGTCTTAGTCATTATACTGAAGGAAATAATGAGGGGTTTTGTACTTTCTTATTCATATGATGTTAATAAGTTATTAACAAAGTGTCAACATGTAAATATGAAGAAAGTTTGTACTCTCATGATTTTATATTTAACATTTGTGTTAAATATGACAATTTAATTACTAAACTAGAATCTTCTAGTGACGTTGGATGTCTTGTATATGCATTAGAATTGTGTTAACACATTCTATGTGGCATGTGACTCACTGATTACACTAAGTGTCTAAGTAGGACCATTCCAAATCTAATGCTAAAATTATAATGTGTCTTTGAAAGACTAAGGTTTATGATTTATTAAAATATATTAGATTTATGTTGTTCTTAAAGGTTATTCGAATGCTAGTTGGTATTCTAGCATTAGTGATCATAACCCATTAGTGATTAGAAATTCATACTTGGTAGTGAGAGATGTTTCTTGATAAGTGAAACAGACAATAATCACTCTCTCCAAGAAAAGAAAGTTGAATTTATTGAACTATCTTCAGTGCATAAGGAGGTGAAGTGGCCAAAGGGCACTGGCATGTGTCGCTTGTAACCTTGTGTTGTGATAGTTAGATTGATATATCTTGAACATTGTGTAAAATTTAAAAATGGGTAAATATAGACATTAATTCAAGATATGTATCTCTTAATGAGATATAAATGTTGATGTTGTCGGTGTTGTGTTTGTGAAAACACAATTTTGTTATGGATCCATGTACCAAATCTCTTGCGAGAGAATTGGTGTTTTTTGACAACATGAGGAATGGGAGTAAAATCTCAATACTAAAATCACAAATAATGGAAACCCAACTTTCTTCTAGTATTATCCCTAGATTACAAGGTTTAAAGGGTAACAACAAGTTGTTTTGTTGTTGTGAACACCAAAATTCGTGTATACCATTCCAAGTATTGGTGCATTATATATGTTACTCTTAAGTGAGCAGGTTGAGAGAAATCTCTTAATGAAATTATTCCTGAGTGTTTAATTACGGGATAGTAATAAACTGGAATAACTTCCACGATTCTCCTTCTCAAGTTCACTAGCCTCTTTAACCAAAGACTTCTAAATTCCAATTTTATCTTCAAGTACAGTTTAGAAAATTGAAACTTTCACCATGTAATCACCGGTGAAAACCCTCATATAGTGATTCCCTAACTCCGGAATAGAACCAACTCGAAGTTTGCAACTAACCGAAAATCCCCCACTCTCAAGAAGTGCAAGCAATACAATCATATTTGATCCAACATAAAAAGAAAAACCTTTTGTGCCTTGGTCTTCCCCATGAAATCTTTCTCCAATTCGTCTCATGCCTTCAAATCATTAGAATGGACATGCACATGTAAATCTCCCAGCCCTTATCGATTCTGGAATCGCGTTCGAGGGTGGGTTGCGTTAGAGAAATCTTATCCACCAGTCCCACGACACAGCCTCGATCAAATGCCTTCTTAGCTCTTGCCATCATTGTGTCTTGCAAAGGACGAGTTGCAGCTGCAGTCAGGTTGCGGAATCCGCTTTTTCCCATCGTCAAGATGATAATAGAAGACTAGATTCACAATTCAATCCCAACTTCAACCTCAAACTCGGATTCGCTGGAATGTTTGCAACTAACGAGGGAAATGGAATAGCTATCTTTCCTCTAATTTAGTTGAAATTTAGAAGGAAAAGAAATTCCTTTATGTTGTTTCTAATTGTTGCAAAATATTTATAGCTTTTTTTCCCTTAAAAGATATATTGTATTTGTAAAAATTCACACAAAAAATGAGATATTGGATTAGATGATGAGTTTAAAGACAATACTAAATAAAAGAAGATTAGGGGAAGAAAACATCTTCCCTCAATATTTTGTTTTTTTTTTAATTATTGTATTGTTCAATAGTTCCCAATCTACTGACCAGGAGTTCACTGAAAATCAACGTTTACGATCTAACTGATTCCGGGTCTTTTGAAAATCACGGTTCAGAGTCTACTGATCCCGAGTCATCTATCAATCCCGCTGAGAAGTTAGAGCATGTTGTTGATAATATCGGTAAGAATATTAAACAAATAAGTATTGAGAGGAAAAAAGAGAGGGCAAACCTTGAGATCAGTTGGTAGAAGAGAAGGAAAATAGTTTTGTATAAGTAGAGTGCTTGCATTGGAGGCCATGGACTGCCAACAAGATTCAGTGGACACTGCTTTGCGTAAAAGTTGTGGATAAAGGTGAACATTACAAATAATTTCTTTTCAAATTCTTCTACATTCAAGGTCAATGTAGCTATCCTTTCCAAAACTTCTATATAGAAACCCTGAAGTGCAAAACCGTGATCATAAATTATAAGATAAATGTTCCTACAAATGAAAATCATGTTCAGGATGGCATTTGGGAGAAGTATTCACTGGTTGTGATAAATTTTGTTGGTGAAAAGAAGGTTGCTAATTGTCCACGTAGTGGTCTTGCAGCTGGAGATATGAATATTGAAATGGGTGGCGGTCTTACTGCTGAAGATGAAGATGTGAATGTTGAAAGGGGTGACAATCTTGCCAAAGGAGATACGAATGTTGAAAGGGGTGGTCATGATGTGAATGTTGAGTAAGGTTCAAGATTTGGTGCGGAGTAGTAACTAATTTTGTCCAAACTTTAGTCCCTTTTAAGCTATTAATCTGAGTAGTTGTTTGGTTTAATTTGTTGGGGTGGATTAATCTTGGCATGTTTTAATTTGAAGTGTATAAGTTTGGTTGGATCTGTATAAATTATAAATTATGAAGTCCCCAAACATTCATAATGAATTTCGGCAGGAATTTCTCTTGACGTAATAACATGTCGGTTCAGCCACTACTGGAGACACAAAGAACTATCTAAATGGATTCGTTTCCGATGGTAAGCCCCAATTGTATCATACGAATTAAAAAAAAAAAGGTTCTTTCATACTCATACTTCTTTTCGTTTTATCCTTGTTGCGATTACGTGGATCATATTTAGTTACACAAATAGTTCGACGATTTTCACTAATTATTACATAGAGCCCCATTAGCATAACTTGGGTTGATACGGAAATAGGATCCCCAATAGCCGGAGACAAAAGATTCTGATGGAAAAACATAAGCAAACGCGCCTCCGCTTGAGATTCCAAAAATAAAGGTACATGAACAGCCATTTGATCTCTATCAAAATCCGCATTGAATCCCTTACAAACTAATAGATGGTTACAAATCACGTCAAGGAGTTAGATCATTTCCAAATTACAAAGAAGTTTTTTTTTTTTTTTTTTTTTTGACAGTCTGAACGGCTCAGTTGATATATAAGGCCATCCAATATTCTGCTAACCATCATTAGGTAAATCGAATGGAATTAACTAGTCAATATAAGTTCCACACACACACAGTATGAGGAAATAAGTTGTCTTTATTACGTCGTCTTGCATTTCAAGTCAATGTCTAAAACATACCATTGTTAAAAAATAAAAGACATTATCGTGTGAAATCATGTCATATGTTTGTATCAAAAGAATAATGCAAGAAATATGACTATGTTAATTTGGCATGTACAAACTTAATAGAGGGCATCATATTGATTCTAATGCAAAAGACAATAGAGTTTATGTACTGACAAGCCGTCGTCACACTAGTCAAATAATAATTACCTACTTAATACAATTACTAGTAGTAAAGCAGAAAGCAGGGTCGATCCCACAGAGAAGGAATACTAATTACCAGGTATAAATTACTCCTATTATTATCTAGATAAATGATGATCTCAGATTTATAAAATTTAAACCTAAAATAAATAAATAAAATAAAAGCAAATAATATTAATTCAAATAATCAGACAAAGAAAACCTAGGACATTGGGTTCACCTACCGAATATTTGGGTTAGTTCAATTCACAAATATCTTGACTTTTAACTTCCATTAATCTCACAACGATTCACCTAATTAAGAACTATACACTCTCGTGTTATAATTCTCTTACTTAGATTAACCCTATGACTACTCTCGTGACTATAGGAATTAACAAAAGCACATTAAGACCATTAAGAATCAAATATTGCAAAGGTTGTAATCTTACTCTCGTAGCTTACAACCTAAGTTTATTATTCCTACGAACTAATACTAATCTTCCACACTCTCGCTACTTCAATTAGTATCTTCAGACATGCAAATAGTGGCCAATTACTTACACGAATTAAAACAAGAATAACAAATATTAATTAATGGAAAAATCAAATAATAATGAACTAAATAAACCAAATAAATTCGGTGGCTACACCCAAGCCCTAGATTAAAAGAATTTAGCCACTAAACATTATTAAAAATAATTCAATAATATTTAGAGACATAATAAAAATAAATAAATTAAATAAATTAAAACTTGAAAACCGAATGAAACCAAAAATCCCGCCAAACTCCCCGCCGGTTGCTCGCTTCACCGCTGCTGCGTGGCTTGCCGGTGATTAATGATGGAGGAAGGTGCTTCGGTGGTGGGTGCGTTCGGTGATGACGAGCTGCAGCAGGAAGACGAGAGGAGCTCTGGTGGGTTTCGGTGGCGTGGAGCTGGATGGAGAAGAAGTGCTGCGTGGAGGATGATGGAGAAGGGAGTTCGGTGGTGCTGTGCGAGGGAGGTGTTGCTGCCGGTGAAGGAGTTTGTTGATGCCGCTGCTGCTGGCTTTCTCGGTGATGTGGTGGGAGTGGAGACGAGGAGAAGGTGGAGAGGTGGAGGAGAGTTGCAGCGGGGGAGGTCAAGGTGGTGGCCGGCGGTGATGGAGGTTTTAACCGTAGGGTTCGGTGGTTTTCGGTCAAGTTTCGGTTCAGTTCTGTTGTAAAAATAAATCCCTAATCCTCCTTTTATAGGCTTCCGGCTAAACCCTACTCCTTGAAGAACAAGAAAACTTGTTTCCCAATTAATATCGGGATTAAAATTCTTATCCAATTCCAATCCCAAATCGGCCGCATAACCAACGTAACCTTCGGCCAATTTTCCAAAAATTAGAATCAAATTGCAAAATTGTATGATTGGCCCTCCAATTCTCTAAACTCATTAATTTCTTCCCCATCAATTGCTCCAATGTTTAATTCTTTCCCATTGAGTTGCTTTTAATTCGATTTTAGCTCAAAACTTCAACAATTCTTCATTTGAGTACAATTCCTACAATTAAAGATAAAATCACATAAATAGCATATTTGTACTCAAAATATATTGCAAAAATCACAAATTAGGGATATAATAAATAGGTAAAATATAAGCATATCAAATACCCCCAAACTTGAATTATTGCTTGTCCTCAAGCAATCCCAAACATTAAACAGACAAAAACATTTAATTATTTAATTTGGCGGCCTCAGAGATTCAATCACATCATATAACACAAAGATTTCGACTATCTCTAGTATGGACTACCTAACAATGCAAACCATAGCTACTTTTAGCCCCCACGCTTGTGTGTGTGTGTGATTCGTTTCTTAGGGACATCACTTTACATTTAACATAGAAAACAAAAGCTCTACTGCAAATATGCCATTTTACTTTAACAACAGACTCACATTTCATACCATATTTCAACGCAATGGACCACCAGACATACTATGAAGTAGAAGGACTTATCTCACAGACAACCTATTCCCCCTCGTAACCCATTCTTCGGTCCATGCGGCTTTTCTTCAGGACTCTTTCCAACTCAGGCCACTACCCAGAGCATTTTTCCACTCCTATACATAGTGGCTCAGCAACTTAGGGCAGTCTACATATCTATTTTCCTCACCGGGCCTGAGGACTCTCCGCTCAGGTTGCCAATTCCTCACCTCTCAAGGGGCTAGCATCAACATTGAATGCTCTTCCTTTTCTCCCTCATTAAAATTTACCTAACCTCAGAAGCATCCGCCAACACCCCTCCCCCAAACTTACTTAACACAAAGTGTCAAAGCAATAAGGTTTTTTAAGGTTGATATTGGGTTAATGCCTTGCTTTTCCTTCACAACATGATGGGTTCCACATACAAATCATATAAGTATGAGTGAATCAAACACAACTCTCATGGCATATCTACATCAAACTTATGCAACTATATCTTACTTTAGGCTTATCCCACAGTCACGACTAAGTGCAAAAGAAACAGGGTATTCAAAGCAACATAGAAATACATAAGTTAAGCAATACAATTCAAAATAGCCTAATTCTTACATGTTATAGATAATCAAACCAACTTCATCATAGGCCTTTTTGGATTTTTCAAATTTTCAATTTTTTATGGGTTTTTTTTTTAAGAAAGACAAACATAAAATAAACATAAAACGCATTCCTCTCCCCCACACTTAAAGTATACATTGCCCTCAATGTATAAAACACAACAAACACAAAACCAAGTGTAAAGAAAAGAAAAGACATAAACAAAAAGAATGAAAAGAAACGACACAACCTTGGGAATGTGAAGCGGAGGACCAGAATTGTTGAATAAATTGTTGCAACTGCCATTCAAACACACGACCAACTTCTACAGAATTTTGGATGTTTCATTTTCAGCACCATTGGACACCAGAGTTTCGCCCGTCCAACAAACCTAATTGCAAACTAAAATAAATTAGAAAATCAAACCTAAACACAGATGATTAAGAAAAACCACGAAAATCCAGAAATCAAAGATCTCCAGATAATCAGGAACAAAAAACTTAACCATCAACTTATTAATGAAAGAAAAAGAAAAATAAAGCAAAATAAAGAATTGGGTTGCCTCCCAATAAGCGCTTCTTTAAAGTCATGAGCCAGACTATGTGGCTAATCAATCAGGCGAACGCTCAATCAAAGAGTGGGAACCCCTTTGATACACCATTCTTCTTTCGTCTCCAACTGCACCTACATCACTGATACACTTGTCAGGAGGGTCATTAAAATTAGCAATAAACACATCATTTTTATCTGGCTCCTTAACAGAATCTACTCTAAACACATGATGAGTAAATGCAGGGCATTTGTAATTTTCGAAAAAGTGAACTCTCTGATTCTTCTCCAATATGAAATTTTAAACTCCCTTTTAACATCTATATACAGCACCAGTTGTGGCTAGAAATGGTCGACCTAAAATAATTGGCACATTAGCATCTTCTTCCATATCTAACACAACAAAATCAACAGGATATAAAATTTCTTCACTTTTACCAAAGACATTTTCCAAAATCCCTTTCGGATGAGTTATGGACCTATCAGCTAATTGCAAAGTGATGTTAGTTGGTTTCAAATGTTTCAATCCAAGCTTTCTACAAACAGATAAAGGCATCAATGAAACACTAGCACCTAAATCACATAAAGCTTTATCAAAACAGACATCACCCATAGAGATAGGAATAGAGAAACTCCCTGGATCACTCAATTTTGGAGGCAACTTTCTCTGAATGACAGCACTACACTCCTCAGATAATGCAATTGTCTCAAAGTCTTTCACTTTTCTTCGATTTGAGATGATCTCCTTCAAGAACTTCCCATAAGCCGGAATCTGAGCTAAAGCATCTGCAAAAGGAATGTTAATATGTAATTGCCTAAAAATTTTTAGAAATTTCTCAAACAACCTATCTTGCTTGGTCATATGGAGTCTCTGCGGAAAA